AAATAATTTAAAAATATTATTTTTTTAAAGAAAATAAAAAATAAAAAAATTGACGGGTACGGGTACGGGTACGGGTATACCCGATACCCGACGGGGATGGGGATGGGGATGAAAATCCATACCCGACGGGTATGGGGACGGGGATGGGGATGAGTTTTACTTGCGGGGACGGGGACGGGCATCATAAAACCCGTACCCGCCCCGCCCCGTTGCCATCCCTAGTAGTCATCAGAAAATTACCTTTGTGTTCACGGTCATCAACTTTCTCCATATAGGATTTTATTGCTTTATCAGTGTCTAGAGGTTCCACATGTATCCCTTTGACATGAAAATAAAAGAAATAATCATAGAAGTTTGTTTTTTGTGGTCGTTGACATTAATAAACTAATTGAAATAAATGTTATTTCGCTCTTCCAAAATATAACTTTAACAAGGCTGTTTTTCTGGCTTAATTATTATTTTTTATTCTATATTAGATTATGCATATGGTTTTGATTATCTAATTAAGCTTTTGGAGTTAATTAAGCGTCTTTATTTTTAAAATTACTCTCCAGTTCATTCTTTTCGATTTAAATTTTTAATATATTACTTTAAATTAAAAATTTGAGGGTTCATGATGAATTCGATATATCAAATAATTGTAAAAGTATTGAAATAACAAATTAATAGAATTTTGAAAGATTATAAGATGGTAATTTAGAGTTTGAAGAGGAGAAATTTTGAGAATATTATATATATATATATATATATATATATATGATGAAATTTTATATTTTTTTGGGTAAATTTAAGCAATATACAATTTTATTGATTCAATTTGTACAAAATATGGGGTGAGACATAAAATTTTGTGTAGTCTAAGTAAGAGAAAATCAATAGGAGATAGATAGAGTTGCTTCATTTTTAAAATATATAGGCTAGATTAATGAATAGATTGAAGAAAAAAAACCAAACAAACTTCAATTAAAGAACCAAATCACTCACAATTTAAATTAAAAAGATAAAATTACAACAAGAAACAAAAAAAATTGTCTTAGATTTAATTTTATTTATGAAGGAATGCATTCTTACAATAATATAAACTCTAAACTATAAAGCTTTTTAGGGAATACGTAATTGAGAGGTTTTTTCTTTCTGGGGGAGACTAAAGCTTTGCTTCAGGCTTGAGCAACCCCTAAATTTAATATCACGCAGTGTTTTAAGAAAAAAGCTTATGAACTCAATCACCAAAGAACGTTAACACTTACAAGAATATAGAATATGCTTCCACCATTGGAGATTGGTTCCACTTCTGAAAGCTGAAGGCTTGTATGCAAGAACTTTGAGAGGAGTGGTCCCGTCTTTGTTTCGCGTTTGCACAAGTCCAGGGTAGCAATGAGTTATTATAATTGCCAAATCTATCAAACCACACACACCAATTATTCATGAGTAGTGTTATGCAATCAAATTTGTTTATCAGATCAAGTTCAATCATTTCACATTAATTTATAATCTTATATAATATCTAATATGTTTTTCGGTCTCTCAATTTTAAATTCTACAATTTTAATCTTTTTATTTAATAAAAATCACAATTTTAGTCTTACAACTAAATGCTTATTTGTTAACTGTTAAAATTATAATGTTAATCATGAATTTATATAAGATGGATAACATGACAATTAATATTTGATCAAATTTAGATTAAATTGTAATTCTATTTCTCTATTTATGTCACTTAATTTCATCTTATTTTACCACTTATATAAGATACAAATGAAAAATGCAGTAAAAAAATAAAATAATTTAAATATTATTAAATAATTTATTGTTATGTCAAATTATGATGAATATTATCACTAATTTATAAGATTAAAAACACAACAAAAATAATTTATAGGGATTCAAATCAAAAAAGTAACATATTGGTAGGAACAAAAAAATATTTAAATTCAAATTAAATATTAAAATAAAATAAAATACAAAAATTAAATCTTAAAATGCATTCTCTTTATCTTTGCACACTTAATGCTCTAAAGCGCTCAACACTTTACTTTTGTAAATTAGTATCATTGAAAATGAATCACATAATTATTTCTAGCTAGCATGAAACAATTAAATTTGAACCAACCTGACTTTGATGGGAAAACCTTGTTTTGGCTGCTATATATTTCTTATAGTTTTAGGTTGACATATATTTCCTCGATTAGTGGTTAGAAAATGGTTCTTAGTATCACTAGGGTGGTTTTCAACCTCTAAAATTTGGTTAATTGATGAGAAAATGGACAAATTTTAATTACTAAAAGGTGAAAACCAACTTCAAGCTATTACCTATATGAAGGTCGAGTAGAAAGCTCGAAGGATACATAACCCTCCAATCAAGCTCGAGCATATGGGTGAAGAGACAAAAGGCTAACATATATGTATTGCACGTTTAGATACAAAACTAACATTAATTATCATTTGGAAAACATAGATCTAACGAGAGGAAGAGAAAAAGAATGTGAACGCAAAGAGGGGCAGAGACAAAGACAAATAATATTTGAAGATTTAAACATTTGTTATATTTATTTTAATATTAATTTAAGATTTAAATATATATTTTTCCTTTCAAAGATGTCACTTTTTTAATTTTAATCCTTATAAACTTATTTTATTTTATTTTTTATCTATATAAATTTATTGGTGACATAACACCTTTGCTAACATGCATGATGATGTCAATTAATCATCAAGTGATAATGTGGCATGGTGACATTATTTTGTAAGGGAGGTTGACTATAGGAACAAAAAAATAAATCAATTTGGAAAGGACTTAAGCAAAAATAAATAAATAATAATTATAAAGACTAAAACCAAGAAACAAGTGTTAAATTACAAGAATGAAATATATATTTAAACACAGAAAATTGTAAAAAAAAATTGAAGTTAGTTTTGAATGACTTAAATTCAGACTATCAATTAAGAAATATCTTAATTCACACACACACAAAAAATCATTATTGCGTTATACATTGTTATTTTTAATTGTTGATATAATACATTTCATTATCTAAGTAATTTGATATTGATACATTCAACAAAAATTGAGTCTTAAAACAATTGTGCTAGAGTTTTGGATGATAACCCTCTAAATAGTTTATCAAGAAGATGAAATTGTGAAATCAACGTGAAGGTAAGGAAGACATGAAATTTGATTGGGACTACAACATCTTGGTACAAGACTCAAATCATCTATCCTCATTTCTTGTCTCACCAATGAAATTATCATGTTTGATTAGATTTGAAGAAAAATGTTACAACATTTGTATGTGAGTACGTAACGAGTATTGTTTTCATGTTTCTTTCTTCCCTCCAAGTTCACATCCATGTCTTCCATTGTTTTTTGTTTATCGATCTAATACTAGTATATATATTATAAAGTTGTACCCAAATGCTCATTTATCAACAAGATAGCTTTAATACATGTCATCTACACCACTTATACCACCCTCTACCTCACATGTTGTTTGTATAAAAAAAAGAAAGACAATAAAGGAGTTTGACATAAAATTTAATTCAAAAAAAAATCCTTCACAGAGCCTCTTGGATAGAGGTATCATATCTAAAAACATCACTCTTAACGAAGGAAAAACTAAACAAGTCATTACATCCTAGGGAACTAAAATAAGGGAACCAACAAACATGAAATCCTAACTAAAACCTTGATGTCACATCCTATAAGAGTTCAACTATATCACAAGGCATAAGGCTTAAGTCTCGTCTCATGCATTATCACTAGGATGATGACGACCCTCACGTGTAAAACACATCTAATAACAACAAACAAAAGAAAGAAAGCGAGAAACATCTCACTTTGCCTATTGGTTTGAAATATAACCTAATAACCACACATCAAAACAAAGCATATACGAACATTTATCCGCATAACATAAGAAACAATGATAACTTAAGAATAACTCAACACAAAATTCGTGAGTAATTCTGTCGAAAAGTTACCCACAAATTATAATTCTTCGGAAAATATTTCAGATAAGCAATTTACAGACGAATTATTGTCTGTTTGTAATCTATCGAAAATAAAGTGTTACCCATGAATTTTTTGGATTATCCACGAATTTTGATCATATGTAATTTCAAAAATTCTTGTAGTATTTGCTTCCACCACGAGATACTACTTCCACTTTTAAAGGTTATAGGATTATTGGCAACAACTTTAAGTGGAGTGAATCCATCTTTGTTTCATATGTCCAAAAGTTAAGGATAACAATAAGTAATTATAATTACAAAAATCAATCAAATTACACAAACAATCATTGACAAATCACAATTTAGAACCAATCATGTTGAATCATTTCACATAAATTACTTCTCTAAATATTTTTATTTTATATACATTTATTTTTAGATGGGTGCTAATATGGACCACCTATAAAGGATTTTGGATGGTTAAATTCAACTCAATCCTAGGATAATACATTCCCGTATTAGGTTTTTTTCTTTCCTCTTCCTCTTCCCCACTACAATATTCTTTGTTAGCCATTGTCAACTATAATTGCGGGTTCCCCTTCACGAAGCATGCCAACAAGCATTGCAAGCTCGTTGCTTCCAATTCCCTAACTTAGGCCCATCATTTTAAGTAATGCAACAAATCCCCTCCCTTGTTGCCAAGCTTTTGCGATGTAGAAACCCTAAATGGGACGTCTTCAACTCCAACATCCAATCTCGATGCCCTTAATTCAAGCTCCAACACTATTGCAGGGAAGAAATTCTATGTTGGATATTTTGGAATTTCTAAGTCGATTCTAGACTCGACATAGTTTCAAGTGACATAGAAAGTCCAAACTTTTTATGTTAATCAAACACCTAGCAGAGAATGTGTCTCTTCTAAATCCAGTGCCAACACCCGTCATAGTATGGGTCCCAAATGCGTTATTTAAAAGTCCTAACACCTACATTTTATGTTAGATGTGACTCAATCTGATATAAAATGTAATGTACACTCTCTAAGTTAGGCGTTTCTTAAGCCGATATAGAATGTGTTACACTTTATGTTGGTAAGCTCACATATGACAAAATGTTGAATTTTTTTTAATATGTTCATTTTTTTTTTTGTTTTTTTAACCTATAATCAAAAAATAATATTCAAGCAGATTAATATAGTATAGGTTGGCCAATATGAATCTTATAAAATATATATTATATATCAATTTAATATGTTTCTAAATTACAAGTTTTAATAACTTGTAATCTAGTTAAATAAATTCAAAATATGTTATAGGTTTATTTAAATATCCCTTATGCACATGCACACACAGACACAAACATATATATAATTCAGATTTGTTGACACCATATGTAAATGTAAAAACTTACATAAAATATTATACTTGTAATAACTTTTTGTATAGTAAAAATTTAATTGAATTATGTGATATTCTATTAAAGATTATATATATCAAATTTTACTTGATACAAAAATTATTTAGTAATTCATCACATAACTTTATGTTAACATACAATATGATATTTAAAATATATGTAAATATCCTTTTTTGGATATTATATCTAGAAAAGTTTAAATCATTGAAAATTTAGGTACATGATCTTTAATATAGTATTATATAATTCAATGGTTAGATCGATTAAATTTGCATTATATAAAAAATTATTAAAGGTATAACACATTGTGTAAGGTTTTAGACTTACATTTGGTATCAATATATATGAGACTCATAGATGTGTGTGTTATCTAGATATGAGTCGAAACCCATATTTGAAATCAACCTTCAAAAGCTCTAAGCTTAGTGGCTTTAAAGAAACACAAATAACCATATGAGTACTCAAATAGTACATAGTAAATGAATTGCAAAATAACAACTATAGGAACATCCAAACAGTACATACCAAAACAACCCCATTCAGCACCATTTAGAGCCCCAAAACAACCCGAAACAAATTTTCACATTTTGTCAAATAGGCTATAACCTTTTACAAACATAAACCATAACATTGTACAATAGCTATGTCCCAAACAAATTAAACAACACCAAACAAATAGAAAAAATAACATCAAACACTATTGCCAAATAACCTAAATTGAGCGATAAAAAAATGAAAATCAAAAATTGAGAAAAAAAATGGACCTGGGAGAATGTTGCAATAAAGCACGAAGCATGAAAGTGGTGGAGATTAGCTTACCAAAGCTCCCCGAGGTCGATGGAGATGGTGGGTTGCACAAAAATTGAGTCCAAGATGGTGGAATCAAGGGTAGCGATTTTTGGAATATGAAGGTCACATAATAAGAATGAAGAGTGTGACCTCTATTAAGTGATTTTAGTTTTATATACAAGACTTTGTATGTTAGTTTTAGCGACATCTGACATAAAATCCTCTTTTTATGTCAACTCTTGTTAAAACTAATATAATAAGGTTAACTAATATTACCAAATGGTCAACACAAACAACATGCTATGTAATGTGTATTTACATCCAACACAAGGTGCTTTTGTTGTTGGTTAAAAGTACATCAAACATAGAATAATTTGTAAAAATTACAAAATTTTTACTACAGCAAATTCTATGTCGAATGGATTAGAACCAACATAGAGACTGTCGTAACAACAAAATTTTTCACTAGTGCAAACCCACAATTATACCCAAACATTCCTTACTTACATAATCGAATATGGGTCGGGATCCATCGTTAGGCTTCTTAATCGCCGATAATCTCAATTTCTTAGGAAAAACCATCCCTAATTTTCTTGTGGATTGCAACAAAGACTCCCTCCCCTCATGGATGACACTCAAGAGATTCTCCTACTACTTAACTTCCTATCACTTCAACTACTCGTTGCAAAACAATGACCTCGTTTTAGAAATTGGTTTCAACGAAGAAGTCAAAATCAATAAATATATGTATACTTAATAAAAGTTACACCGGTATTATTATAACTTATATATATATATATATATATATAGAGAGAGAGAGAGAGAGATGAGAGATCTACTTATTCTACTCAATAAGTCTTGTTCTACATCAAATTTCAATGATATCTAATCATTAAATTAAAGGTTCTTAATCTGTATATCAATTCTAGCTACAAATTTTTAACTAATTTAAAATTTATTTAATATTTTATTTCATAAATTCAAATCGACAAATAATCCTAAAAATATTTCATACATATTTAAATTTATATAACAAAATATCATAAGATTTTTAAATATTTTAAAAAATTGTATGTGTGTGTATAAAGAGAAATTCTAGCAATACACTCAAACAAACTTATTTTAACATACTCACTCTTATTAGTTAAAATTTATGGACATTTACAAAAAAGGAGATAGTCAATAAATTGAATTGAAACTCACTAAATTTATTATTTTTTTAATAAATTTCAACTAATTAAAAAGAATATATTTAAAAGAGTGTATAAAATAATGTATTGTTATCATTTCTCATATAAAAGGAAGGGATTGTGCATGCATGTGTGATAAAAAGGATGAACATGGAATTAAAAGGTTGCTTACCCAATAATTCTCCCTGGATGGCAGCATGAAGGATGGTATCCCCATCATTGTTCGTAAGTGCAACATCCAAATCTTTGGAAACATGATAGAGGTACACAAAGGTGTTTGTTTGGCATGTGAGAACAGCCCCAAACAAAGGTGTTTCACCCTTCTTGTTCTGAACCTTAATCAAATCCCTCCTTTCGCCAGATTCCCCTATGATGCACTTACACATACCAATGAACCCTCTTGAAGCTGCAAGGTGCAAAGGAGTGTCCCCTCTCTCATTGGTTGATCTCAATGCACTATCATCTCTCAACACTGCCCTCCCTTCATGCTCTATGATTGCACCAACAAGAGTGTTCACATGTTCCATTCTCCCATCATTCACTGCCACGTGTAGTGCAGTGCCACTGCTTTCGTTGATCTTTATCTTGTGGAAATCACTGTCTCTATCATACGCCGGAACAACGTCATCCCATCTCCCTTCCAATACGCAACCTCGGAACGATGAAAAAGCCAGGTTGTCAACTTCCGTTCCTTCAGTTATTGTTGGTGATTCAGGAGAAACAACGGATTAATTCGTGTGAGAATTAATGGAATCATATAATACCCACATGGATACAAATATCATAAACCAGCCATAACCGGCCACAAAAACATTAACTATTAATTTACATTAGAGATTATAAAGATTTTTACGATGAGAATGGATCCATGTTGTCAAGTTCAGTTACTTCAATATCTGTTGATTTTATGAAAAACAAAGAATCCGTGGATGCAAATTATTTACGTTACATTAAAGTCAGGAAATTATATATAGGATGAAAGAGATTTTGATAAAATAAGTCAATTTTGTAAGATTTAATTAAACTCATTTTTATCATCTAAGATGATAATAAAACAATTTGATTCTCACTAGCCTTGATGGTGAGGCACTAGTTGCGATCATTTTACACGCACTAAGATTAATAATATTGAACATAATGAGGTGTATTAAGAAAAACTCACAAGTTCTAAATCAACTAAAAATAAAATAAAAATATATATATAAATAGAGGATAATGTCCATTTTACAAGCTAGTTTTATAGGAATGAGTTAAACTCGAAACTACTTTCTATAAATTTTTTAGTATTCATGCATTAAACCCAATAGTGCTCAGCATGAAAAATGCAAGTCTATAATCTATCCTATATCATTGAAAAAAATTATTTTCTATTTGTTCATGCACTAAACTTAATAATGCGATAGGGTATATTAAAAAAATTTCACAAGTCTTACATCAACTTATAAATAAAATAAATAAAGAATATATAAGTGAGAAACATCCATCATCTTATACAAATTAATTTTACAGGGGTGAGTTAAACCTCAAACCCACCTAATAAGAATTTTTCAACAAAATTTAATAGCAATTATACAGTAACGTGAGTACAAAGGAGATCGAATTTGGAAATATTAGAAAAATAGCTTATAAATGTTCTGCACCTAAATTCCATTTTGGACTCACCATATGGATTCATTTTTCAAAGTTGAAACGACGAATTAACTCTAAGAAGGATGATGATGGTAACGTGAAATGGGAGACTGCAGGTTGCTGGTGCTAATACTGGGCAACGCAAGCTTTCCTTTTATACTAGAAACAAATTCCAAATTGCAAGATAATATCTTTTATAGTTTTTAATTTTTTATATCACTGTTTATTGAATAATTGAGTCATATCGGACTGCATAAATTTCTAGTTTCCCATTATAATAAACTTAAACATGAAATCTATTTTCTAGTTATATATGTTCTTAGTTTCTTCTAATATACGTTAACTCTATATAAATATAATGTATTTATACATTAGAAGATAAGAAAACAGAGTTATTTTTATATTTAAACCTCAAAAGTGTCACAAGTCAATAGTCATCATAGATCGACTTAGTTAAAATTGAAATAATAAGGGAATTTTTCTCACACGATAATCACATGCATATGAATTCCATGCTGAGTAAAATACAAAGCTTAAGAAAAGTAAAGGGTACATTGTCTCTTTATCCTTTTTCTTTTGGAATTAACCAAAGATAAGGCTTGGTATCTACTATCTACCCCGCTTTATTTTGCTCCTTGTCATATTTCAGTTTTTTTTCTTCTTGAAAGTGCACTATATTGAAGTAATGTTCTGATTCTTGTGGGTAGGACGAAGAGTTTTTACTTTAAGCTGTAGAGGAGAAAAGAAAAGTTAATTACAATATTATTCCTCAAATCAACAAAGAATTGTGCTTCACTTCAGAAAGAATACTCAAGTGCAGGTTTATATGATACACTAATTTCACATTGCTTAGTTGCGTTGTTTTTTTTGGGAGGCACTTGTTTACGTATTTTCTACGATAAATGAACTTTTAGTAGTATTTAATATTATTTTTAGTGACAATAAAAATGCCTGTAAAATTTTTTATCAATATTTTCACATTAATCATTGTATGTAATGTCAGTAAAACATATACTTACAATTATTATGCATGTTGATAAAGACCCTTATAATGGTAAAAAAGAATGTATAAATTTTTGTGGCAGTTTTTACTGATATTTAATACATTTTTGCTATTGTCACTAAAAATTTAATAAATGATTCATAATTTATATTATCTAATTTTCTTATTTTTAATTGATGCAAGATGTGAGACTTGTAAGATGAGAGCTGCTCTTTACTTATATACTCTAGGAGTTGAGTTTTTTTCCGATACTTGATACCAACTTAAAATACTAAATTATGAATCTAACTAAATCCTACAAAATTAACTTGTGAGGTAAGAGTTATCATCCATTTATATATTTTTTAATTATCCTATCTCTAATTGAGACTTAAATTTTTCCTAATAAATAATTATCATTAATAGTAAAATTTAGTGTAATGTAATTACGTTTTTAGTGACTATTATATATATTAATCATTAATATTTTTATACATATAATACTTTTCTTTTTAATTGTTTTCTTAATTAAATTATTTTTAATTTAAAAAAATAATTTTTTTAAAATACAACTATGCACTTTTATTTTTTAAAATAATTAATAACGTATGTAAGACATAATTAATTAAATAATTTATATTTAACAAAAAAAATAATTTTAATAATCTATTAAATAATTTACAAATTTCAAACACTTTAATTTTTTTTAAATAAATTTCGGTTATAATGGTCTTTTTTATTTGAAATAATTATGTTTTAACTACTAAAATAAAGTATAATGTGATTATACTTATTTAGTTGATCTTGTAAAAAAAAGTTATTTAGCTATTACACCTATAGACTTTTTTTTTATCTAATTAATGATTTTTAACCAAACGATTAAATCAATAATATAAACAATAATAGGCATATAAGAACATCTCTGATTTTCTTAAAATAAGTAATTTATTTTACACTAGTGCAAAAATTAGTTTTAAAATCGAGGTTTTAAGATTGATTAAAAGGTGACCGATCTTAATAGTGACGCGGTGACAATTTTATAAATAATGTGAAAACTTTTAAGATTGGTTAAATTTTAATTGATCTTAAAAATACTTTTAAGATCGGTTATTTTATAACCGATCTTAAACGGTATGTCTGACATAACTTTTAAGATCGGTTACAAAAGAACTGATCTTAAAAGTGGTATACAAGATCAATTCTTTTAATACCCGATCTTAAAAGTTTATCAAACATAAATTTTAAGATCAATCATAGAAGAACCGATCTTAAAAGTACTTTTAAGATTGATTAAAATTTAACTAATCTTAAAAGTACTGTAACTATCTAAAAAATGCAACGCTCTCCCTTAGTCATTCTTCCTCGCATGCGCCTCCTTTAGTCATATTTTAAGATGAATAAATATATTAAGTTAATTAATAATTTATTTAAAATATTAAAATTTAATTTATAAAAATAATATTTTAAAAGAGAAGGGTTATAATAACACCGGTGCAACTTTTACTAAGTATTACACCACTCAATATAACTTTATATTAAATGTGAATTTTATAAATTCAACCATTAGATTGAAAGTTTTTACTCTTAGCTCATATATATAAAATTTTATATTAATTCAAGATGATTTGATACTTCATTCTTATAAAAACAAATTTGACGTTGTTCTTACCGGGGATCCGATATAGAGATGGTCCGCTGGGTAAGATCGGTGAGCCTCCTTCGTTGGTACGTTGGTTGCTCCAAGATGGGGGTGGTACCTGAAAAAGAGACTTCGATGCTAAAGTTAGTGTTTGTGGGTGTATGAGTCTCGTATAAGTAATGCACGTACCTTTGTGTGAATTAGGGTTTCGTTGGGCCTTGGGCCAGAGATAAGTTATGACCTACTCAGGTAACGGACCTCGTCTTAGTCGAGGTCTCCCAGCGCGTGTCCGAGGTACGTATCCGAGGTCGTTCTGCGCTGTGATGCCGAGTTGGAGCTCAGCTTTACGGTACGGATAGTACACTAGCCCCCCGAGCTCTGAAGATCGTGGGTCAAGGAGTTAATGCCGAGCTTGGAGGGGAGCTGTGACTCTTCGCGTACGCTTCCTTGCTATACTGCCATGTGTCGAAACTGTCACCTCGTTCCTATAACGCGTGGGCGGCGTGTTAATGGGAAGTGACGGTTACGCAATGATGACTTGTGCTCGTCATAATGGGGCTTATTAAATGTGTCGTCAGTTGTGTTCCCTGGCCGACACGTGTCCTGACCGTTTTGAATTTTGGAGGTTTCTTTTCTCTCTCTCGCGCCTCTTCCCCTCTCACTTTACTCTTTTCCTTTGTCTTGTTCCTGACGCCTCTTCGTTTCTCTGCTCCGTTCCCCGTCTTCGCCTTTCTTGGTTCCGTTCCCCTCCGTCGCCATTTCCCGCAACTGAGTTCTTCTTCTTCCTTATTGTTCTTTCATTTGTCAAAGGAGTACCAGGTACTTTGATTTCCTTACTTTCTCCTTCTTCTCAAATCTTTTGATTTTCTTGATGGCTGGCGACGATGGTGCCGCTCCTTCTGCGCCTGCCAGGGGCAAGGGCAAGGCGCGCGGCAAGGTGGTGGCTACCG